CTGGGGGAAGAACTTTCTCCTGAGATCCAACCTGACCCTGCCCTGGCACAGCTCCAGCCCTTCCCTGGGTCCTGTCCCTGCTCCCTTCCTGAGGAAGTTGGAACTGCCCTGAGCTCTCCCCTCAGCCTCCTCTTCTCCAGCTGGACACACCAAGTGCCCTCAGCCGCTCCTCAAGGCCCTTCCCCACCTCTGTTGCCCTCCTTTGGACTCTCTCTGATGGCTTCACACCTCTCCTGGCCAGAACTGTCCCGGTGTTCCCGGTGAGGCCACACCAGCTCTCCGTGCCCCCTCCGCGGCACAGAGCCCCCCCTGCCCTCCTGGCCAGCGACTCACTGGACACCTGGAGGTGGATCTTGCTGGAGAGGGCAGTGCCATAGTCATTCCTGGCGAAGCACTGGTACTCCCCCTCGTAGTCCTCGGGTCTGCCCCCGCTGTGGAAGTCGATGACGAGGGTCCCCGAGCGGCGCCGCATCGACACCTTGGGGTCCTTGGCCACGTTGAAGAACTTCCCGTTCCGAGTCCAGGAGAAGCTGCAAGCACAGGGTGGTACCCGGGGGAGGTCCTCACCTGGGCTGGCAGAGCTGGTGGTGGCCGTGGCACAGCCAGGTGGGAGGGGAGCTGCTCCAGGGGGGCACTTACGTGGGCACGGGGTTCCCTTTGGCCTCACACTCGATGAAGATGTTGTCCCTGGGGTCCACGATGTAATCCTTCACCGACTGCTTGGTGATGGTGGGGGGCTGGGGCACTGCAGGGCAGAGGGGACACCCTGAGCAGGGCTGTGCCCACCCCTCTGCCACCCCCTCTGCAGCACATCCCGAGGGGATGCCAGCCTCTTCCCCAGCCTCTTGCCCAGCCTCTTGCCCAGCCTCTTCCCCAGCCTCTTGCCCAGGCTGCACCCTCCATTTGTGGTTTGCAGCCCTGAGGAAACTGCCACAAGCACGGGTGGGGTGGGCTGCTCTCCCCTCTCAGACCGTGGCACTGCTCAGGTTCCCTTTAGGCACCAAAACCCCTCCTGGATCTCACTTGGTGGCTTGGATTTCAGAAATTCCACGGTTACCTTTTCCTGCTCCCACGGATTGAATCCCATTGAAGCCCATCCTGCTCCTCAGGGAGGGGCTGCAGCTTCCAGGGACCCCGAGACATTTACAGGGGCTCCCTGTGCAAGAAGGAGGCCCTAAAACCCCCAGGTTGGCCCCAGAGGGGCTCAAAACTGGTGTTTAGAGGGGCAGGGCTGTGAAAAGAGCCCAGAGCTGCTGCAGGACCTGGCTCTGGCCCTGAACTTGGAATTGAAGATCCCAGCCCAGGGGTGAAGGTCTGAGGGTCTTTGCTCATCCCCCCCAGAGCCAGCGATGCTCCAAATGTGCCAGGAGGTGGGGCTGAGCTTGGCACACCAGCTGGTGCCAGGCAGAGGAGCCCACCCTGCCCTCGGGGCTGCCAAAAGCCACAACAAACCCCTGCAGAAACAACATTCCCATGGTGAGGGCAGCCCGGCTCCTGCTCCAGGGGCAGCCCAGAGCCCAGGAACACCTCCCGAGCTGCTCCAGCTGGGCAGGAGAAGTGGCTGGTCCTGTTCTGGCCACGGGCAATGCCCCCACACCCAGGGTGTGCCCCCGGCAGCCCCCTGCTCTGTGCAGATCCCTCATGCAGAGGACACGGACACACAGAGGGGAGGGAACACTTACATTCACTCTGAATACTTGCTGTTATCCCCCAAGTGCCAGCAGAGAGGAGAGAAGACAAGAGGTTAGTTGGGGAGCAGCCCCGGGCTCCTCGTGCCCACGGACCCAGCGGGTTGTTCCAACACTCCACACAAACCATTCCATGGCTCAGGCATGTCCGGAGCTTCCCCCTCGCTGCCCACGGGGGAGAAGCTGCTGCTGAGGGCTCCTGGGGGCTCTCAGCTCCTCTGCAGGAGGGTTTGCCATGAAACACAGCACAGGCTGCCTGGGTGGGCTTTGGGGTGCCCACCCCCCTCACCTGCAGCGCTGGAGACCCCCCAGCAGTCCAGAACATTCCCCCTTTCCCGTGGCTTATCCTGAGCCCCCAGCTTGGCTCAGGTGCTCTAATCCTGGTTTTGAGTCCCCTGCTCAGTTTTTGAGGCAGATTGGCTACACCAGAGAGGACTTAGGGTGACTTTGTGGAGTGTGGGTGGTTTAAAAAGAAAAAACAACGACAAACAAAGGAACGAGAGCAAAGGGAACCCGGTGGTGGAGCAGGAAACTCCCCCTGTGCTGAGCAGACCTTCACTCCACCTCCTGCCCCGGTTCAGGGGGAGATCTGAGAGGGGTGAAAGCACAACTTACGATCCAGAGGGACCTCGATGGTGCTGCCCAGGTGCTGGAGGCAGAGGGCGAAGACGATCCCTGCGCAGGGGAGGAGGTGCCCGGGCATGACCATCCTGGAGGGCTGGGCAGGGGCAGCCCCTCGGAGTGTCCCCGGGGCAGCAGCACGTGCAGAGGGATCCTCAGCTGCAAAACAAACCCAGGCCACCATCACAGCTCCGTTCCTGCGGGAATCGAGGGTTTCTAGCCCCCCAAAAAATGTTTGTGTGGAGGGCTGGGGGGGTGAATAGAGCCAGGGGTGGTCTCCAGGCTCTGGTGGTCCAGGTATGAGCCCGTGGGCACAGCTCTCCCACCCCTGGGTTGTTCTGCTGGCAGAAAATCAGCTTTAGGGGGGTTATTTGTGCTCAAACCCTGGAGGGACCCCTTGGATCACAGGATCACAGGATATGCCAGGCTGGGGTGGCAGGAGAAGGGCCTTGCTCTCCCCTGGCACCGATGGAAAGTCACTCAGAGCTACTGAACACAAAAGCAGTGAACAGTCCCCAAAGGATAAAATAAAAAGGATGATTTGCTGATTAAAGAAATAATAATAATAATAATAACAATTGTATTTTATGGTCAAGAAATGCCTAAAAATATCCAGTCCCTCAGCCAGGGCACTGGGATGAGGCTCTGCATTCAGCCTGGGGATAGCAGGGCACTGGCTCTGGAGCTCCCCCAGTGTCCCAAAGAGCCTGGCACAGCTCTGGGAGTGGGGGCACAAAGAGACCTTTCCTGCCTGGTCTCTAAACGAGCCCATTTCCCCCCAGCTCCAGCCACTTCCCTGCCCAGACACTCCCTGGTGCCAGATGTGCCTCCCACCCAAAGCTCCCGAGATGCTCCTGCCAGGAGCTCATTTGCCACACACCCCCCACTTTCCATTTGGCTCCTGACGAACCCCCCAGACTCCCAAAGGAGCAGCAGGGAGGATAATTCCCCCCGTGGGGACAATTCCCCTCCCTCGGGGGTGTGGGGGGGGGGCATCACCTGAGTCACCACTCACTGTCCAGAGCAGAGCTGTGGAAAGGGCAGCAGCTCCCTCAGCCGAGAGCAAAAGATGCCAGCAGGGCAGGAAAGAGTGGAAAGAAGAGTGGAAAGAGTGGAAAGAGTGGAAAGAGTGGAAAGAGTGGAAAGAAGAGTGGAAAGAGTGGAAAGAGTGGAAAGAGTGGAAAGAGTGGAAAGAGTGGAAGGAGTGGAAAATCCCCAGCCCTGCTCCTGCCTGGCCCTGGCAGGGGCTCTGGCCGGGGACGTGGAACAGCACCGAGGCCATTTGGCGAGAAAGGGGAGCCTGGAACAGAAACTCCCAGGCTGCAGCTCGGGATGTGCTGCCCCTTCAGCTGTCCCCGAGCTCGGGAGGGAGGGGGGACCCTGCACGACAGACAGAACCCGGGAGCAGGGGAGCAGGGGCAGCGCCGGGAACGCTGCTGGGAACGGCGCCGGCAGCCGGCGAGGAGCAGATGTCACGGAAAACAACCGGCCCTGACACATGGCCTGGGGAGCTCTGCTGAACCCCCCAGGGGCTCCAGGCAGCTCTGGGGACGCTGCTCCCTGTCACCCTGCTGGGCAGCACCGGGGGTTGGGGGTTCTCCCCCAGTGTGTCCCAGTCCCACCAGCTGGCAGGCTGGAGGCCGGGAAGGGGCTCGGAGGGGAGCGTGGCTTTGATCTATTCTGCTCGTTCTGAGGATTTTCCAATCCAGCTGTTGCCGTAAAAATAGTTGAAGGACAGAATAATTATAGGGCCGGGCCAGTAATTAAAGTCATGTCCAGCACTTGTGCAGTCCTGTGATCAGGTCATGCTGAACAAAGCTTTTCGAATTACTCCTTTAGCTCCCTGTCTGAGGGAAGAGATCATTTTGATCTGCAGCCTTCCTTTTTTTAAAGCAGTTCATTTCTCCAGTTGCAGCTTAAGATGAGTGATGGACCCGCTGGTTTTATGTCTCTCTGTCCCTGAGCACGAACCTGACCTGAGTTATGAACTGAACCAGCCAGTTCTCCACCCAGAGAGACAACAGGGAGGAGGGTTCTGGAGTCCTCAGGATGCTCCCAGAGTGATGCTTCCCATCTCTGTCACAAAATGCTTTAAACCCCCTCCATTCCCGGATATCTCAGGGCTGGGAGGGGGAAAGGCAGCAGGGATTGAAGCAGTGCACATGGACAGGCTGATTTGGGGCTGGAGAGCCAAGAAGGTGCTGTTTTCTTTAGGCTGGGTGGTTGTTGTGGGAAGGGAAAGGAGGAGGTGCCTTCGAGGGAGATGTGTGAATATTGGAATAAAGAAAGGGCTGAGCCCAAACTCTGACATCTCAAATCACAGAATGGTTTGAGTTAGAAAGGAACTTAAAGCCCGTCCAGTGCCACCCCCTGCCATGGGCAGGGACACCTTCCACTGTCCCAGGTTGCTCCAAGCCCCGTCCAACCTGGCCTGGGACACTTCCAGGGATGGGGAGTTCCCAACCTGTGCCAGGGCCTCAGCACCCAAAGGGCACATCCTGCCCGTCCCCCCTGTACTGGGACTGTGAACGTGGGGGAATAGCAAGAGGAGGTGAATTTGCAGGTAACTTTGGAGCTGAAAAAGGGGCTGAAACCACGGGCAGAGCTCTGTGGGATTGTCCCAGCATGGGGGAATCAGCCAGGGAGGATGGGCTGTAGGACAGCACCGACCAAGAGCAAAGACATCCCATGACAGAGCACACTCAGAGTTCCTCCTGCCTTTGGGAGGGCAAATGCCAGGCTCCTCCAGTCTCCTCCAGCTCCTCCAGGCTCCTCCAGCTCCTCCAGGCTCCCCCAGGCTCCCCCAGGCTCCTCCAGGGCCCCTTTGTCTGGGCAGATGTGGGTGCAGGAACAATCCCCGGCCGTGCCTGCGTGTGTAGGTGGCTCCTGGGGACAGGCAGTGCCAGAGAACACAGCCCCCATTGTCAGGGGACAGGGACATCTCCCAGCACAGAGCCCGGAGCTGCTGTGGGAGCACAGAATTCCAAGCTGGGGGTGCTGGAGCTGCGTGATGTCCATCTGCTCCTGAGGCTGCTTCAACCCAGGCTGGCACAGGGGCCAGATGAGACCCCTTTTCCCAGACTCAGCATTCCTTAACCACTGCTCCTGGCCCTCAGAAGGGATCTGAGTCCTGTCCAAAGAGCAGAACAAGCCCTCCCACCTCATCCCTGCAGCCTGATGGGATGGCCAGAGCTGAGGGAGAGCCCTCAGGGCTCCGGGAACTTCTTCCTGCAGAGTCCTGTGGGGCAGAGCTGGTCCATGATGAGGGGATATTTTATATTCCAGCTAGTTCAGCGATTTAAAATGAAGATGGAAAGCTGTGGAACAGCCTGAAAACCCTCCCAGCCAGAGAGGAGAAACTCTGGAGCTTCATTTCTCCCTGAACGTGGCAATTTAACAGGCATTTTGCTCCCTCCCTGCCTCGAGGTGGGGGGAAATTTCTCCCCTCCACAGATGGTGGAGCAGCACAAGTGAATCCTCACATCCCAGCCCCGGAGCTCCCCTGCTTCCCCCCTCCATCTGCTCGGCACCAGCACGTTCCTGCAGGGTCTGGGTGGCTCAGCCAGGAGTGCTGGGAGGGCTGGTTTGTCCCTGACCAGCAGGATGAGCTGGATGAGGCTCCTCATCGGCAGGACACGAACCACATTCCACAAAATCCACTCCCTTCCCCTCCGGCTCCAGAGCTGGAATCAAAAGATGTGTGGGAACATCTCCTCTCGCTGCAGAGATCCAGCTCTCAGCCAGAACCCACTGCAGGCCAAGGCAGCACAAGCCAGGACGTGGATCCCCCCCAGGGCTGATTTGGCCGGAATTTGGCTCAGAATTCCCAAAGCCCCATCCCTGCAAACAGCAACACGTGGGATGCAGAACCTGAGGACTTCCCTGGGGGCACAAATGGCACCGGGGAAGGGCTGAAATTAATTTCCTTCCCAACAGTTGAATGAAATGAGACCTTGTGGGATAACAATGGAAACAAATCCCTTCCCTACGGCCCCACTGCTGGAAAACAACCTCAGCTCAGCCAGGAGGGCTGGGAGCAGCCACAGAACCAGTGAGTAAAGGGAATCTCTGGTTGAAGTTAAATAAAATTAAAGAGGTCCACGATGAGGGATTGTTTTTAATCAGCTCATTAGGTCCAGCAGGATGCTTTCAGCAGCAATTAGACATTTATCCTTATTTACGGCTGCAAGAGGAACAGTAAAACTTGAGGAGCTGCTGTTCCCAGGAACATTCCTGCAGCACCATTTATTGCATGTCAGCTGCTTAATTAATGCTGATTGAATAGCACAGAGCAACGTTTCCACCAAAAGAGAAAACGCTCTTGGTTTCAGATAATGAAAAACATTGATTTCAAAGGCACGTGTGGATGTGAATCCCAGGCTGGGAGAGGGAAGGGAAGGCTCCAGGGAGACCTGAGAGCCTCTTCTAAGGCCTAAAGGGGCTCCAGGAGAGCTGGAGAGGGACTTGGGACAAGGAATGGAGGGACAGGACACAGGGAATGGCTTCCCAGTGCCAGAGGGCAGGGAGAGATGGGATATTGGGAAGGAATTCTTCCCTGGGAGGGTGGGGAGGCCCTGGCACAGCTTGCCCAGAAAACCTGTGGCTGCCCCATCCCTGGAAGTGTCCCAGGCCAGGTTGGATCAACCTGGGCTGGTGGAAGGTGTCCCTGCCCATGGGATGGGCTTTAAGGTCCCTTCCAACCCAAACCATCCTGGGATCCCGTGGAATGATGCAGTCACATCCCAACAACATCCCTGAGAAACCACTCAAAGCAAACACTGAATTACAGGGCAGGAATCAATGGAAAGAAGGAAGGACATGATGGCCAAGGCAGGAGATGATCCCTTGGCATTCCCATCCCGAGGGATGGACCTGCCCTTTCCCCAGGGTGGGGGCAGTGCTCCCGTTCCCTCTGCCCGGAGGAGAGAGAGGAGCTTTGTGCCCGTTCCTGGCACCCAGCTCTCACAATTGTTCTGGGAAACAACTGCCACAGCAAACCCCAGCAAATCCATTTGCATCCTGTCTTCTCCTCCTTAAAAACCCACCGTTCCCACCCATTCAGCAACTGGCACTTCAGGGCTGAGCACCCTGATCCCAGGGAAGAAGGAAAGTCAGGGAAAAAGGAAAGCCAGGGAAAGGAGGGTTCAGCATCATCCCTG